ATATATATATATATATATATATATATATATATATATATATATATATATATATATGTATTCAATTGTTATTTAAAGAATTACTGAGTGCCTAGTATATGCTGGATGTTTAATGATTGCAAATCATCCCTGCCCTTGGGTAGATTACTGCCAACCTTTTGTACTCTCATTTCTCACTTTCCACTTTTTATGATGTGGAAACAGAGCAACAGGTACTTTGTGAGTCCTGAGTAAACACTAGCCAATATTTTTTCACTTTTGTATTTAGAAAATTACTTCATATGGACCCACATGGTTAATAAGTGTTTTCAACTGGTCATTTTATCTTATTTTTTAAAAAATGTGAAGTACTCTTTTAAATGGCATATTCCTGCTCAGAAACCAGAATTATCACTTTCATATATTTTCTGATGGTAGAATATTTTCCAGAATAATTAAATGACCTTTGTGGGCTCTTGTGGAAGAAAACAAATCCTTTAAGGCAGGAAACTCATGGCCTTGCTTTGTTTTTTGTTATGTCCCCGGCAAATAACCATAAACAGGAGAGTGGTTCATAAATATTATTCGGATTTAGGGATGTGAAATAGGAGATACAGGCATGAAATCCTGTTTTTATTACTGTCATTATGCTGACGGTCCTCTGGCCACTTCTCTCTGGTCTGTGTAATTGCAGCGTTGTTCATATTTTATTCATCAGACGAGCTGCTTTGGGCCCATTCTTACACCGCTGACTTGCACTGTTTGCAGCATTTCCTAATGCGTGTGATCTGTGAGCTCCATCAGCTCTCTGCCTCTGCCTTGTTCAGGCCTCTAATGAATATGAGACTTGCAGCCATCAGTCATGTTTCAAGTACAGAAGTCAATGAATTGGGGCTTCTGTTTGTCCATTAGCACCATGGAAAGCAAGCTCACTTTGTCTTCCTGGTGTTCTCTTTGATGGATTTGCTCACTGATTATAATTTGAAGGAAAGCTTGACTGGTGGATATATTTACATAAAGGGTTCCTGCTAGCTCTTTCCTTTTCCTTTTTTTTTTTTTAATGTGACCGAGTAATGTCTATTAACCATCAGTGATAGAATATTGTAGATAGAATTGTGATTAATTCTTCTTGCATCTGTGATTGTGTTTCTGTGCTTAAAAGAGAGGACATTTAAAGTTATTGTTGGAGGGGTGTCCAAAAAAGGGATGGAGGGAAGAAGAAGGAAGAGAAAAAGGGAAAGAGAGGAGAGAGGGAATGAAAAAAAAAGAAGAAGAAGAAAAAGAAAGAAAAAAAAGGAGGAAAGAAGAAATTAAACAGAACATTCAGGCTACCAAGAGCATGGAGAAGTGTGTGTGTTTCTAACTTCCTGCAGTTTACATGAGATCTGTACCCATCGATTAAACAACAGGAAATACTGAAGCTTTACATGTTTTTCACACAAAAATCCCACAAAATATGCCATCATCAGAAGGAATTTACAGTGTGCTTGAAAGACCCACGCTCTAAACCACAGTGGGTTGGTTGTCTTGGTAAATGGTAACAGAGACCTAGAGGCGGTCTTTCAACATGAACAATCGCAAGGGCATTTTGTTTAGCCAAGTAGCATTCACTCCTTTCTCACTTTAACACACTATCATTGATTTATTTAGTAGAAGGTCAGGATGAAGTGGGAGGAGAGGGGGCAGGGCACCACCACGGAAGGAGTGGCACAGCCACTGAGGACAGGACCAACTGGCTAGAACCAAGATGGCGGAAGATTGGATTTTCAGTGGACCTTGAGCTTCATGGCACACCCACAGGCACCATGACAGTTCCTAGGCCGAATTTAAAAGGCCAAAAAGTGGGTGGTGACCCAATTCCTGGAAATCCTCAGCCCTTCACCAAAATAGTTGGAATAATCCTCTTACTCATTAGCATATGAAATTACCCAGCCCATAAAACCTAACAACCCTGCATCTCCTGGTCGCTCTTTCTCTTGCCTTCTGAGATGGCCCTCACTCTGTCTATGGAGTCTGTGTCTACTTCTGCTTTAAATTAAATACCACGTACCTCTTGGTCTCTCTCTGTCTCACCTTTCTGAGATGCCCCACATTCTTCCTATGCAGCATGTATCTCTTAAGCTGTTTTCCCTTCTGAGTGAGACAGACCAAACTTTATCTATGGAGTGTGTGTCTTTCTTAATAAACTTGCTTTCACTTTACCATTGAATTCTTTCCTGCACGAGGCAAGAACCTCTTCTCCCCCAACAAGGAGCAATTGGGACACAGGTATGTGTGAGTACCTCTATGCATATATTTTATCTGTATACATGTGGGAGAACAAGTAATACATAAATATTCTTCACGCTTTGTGAGGGCATATTGGAAAATACTGGTGGAACCCTCATGCGCACCTAGCAACTCAGGGAAGAATGCAGGGCTCGGGAAATCTAGTTTTTGTAGACATTTGTCTGTAAGTAACAGATAGAATATCTAGGAAGAAGGGCAAAGGAAATATATCTCGTTATCTCTAAGGGCCAGGCCTCACGAAGGGAGGGATTCGGGTAGGCACAGCTAAGTGGAGGGGCGGTGGACAGACTGATGGGGAGACGGAGAGAGGGAGGGAGCGGGTAGAGGAGCAAATTCATCTTCTTTCCACCCAAACAAATGTAACGTGAGGGTGAGAGGGCCCTTGGACACTGGAAGTGGGAGGTGGCCACTTTTTTTTTTTCTTTTGAGTCTGAGTGGAAGAAAATTAAAAGAACTTGACCTGGAACCTC